TTTACTGCTCCCCCCCCATCCTACTCCCATCCCCAAACACTGCTTTTGCAGCACACCTGGTTGGTGACACACAAAGGCTTCCAGTCAAAGGGAAGATGAACCTTGCTGGTTTATGAAATCTAGCAACATTTTCAAACCGCAGTAATGAAAACTGGTGGAAAGGCTATAGAGATAAGTTTGATGGGGCTGAGATCTAACACACCAGCATGGAAAAAAAAAAAAACCCAAACCAACCCCATCTTCTGAAAGCCAGTCTATGTAAGTAGGTTGCTCTAATGAGCACTCCCAGTGTGCACCTAACACATCCTTAACTAGGAAGGAACCAAAAATATAACTTCCAACTTAATTCTGCATGCCTTCCAGCACTTGACAGAACTACAGCCTTCTTTTCCATCTAATATGTTTCCGAGATGCAAACAGCAACACTGAAGTCTGGAAAGAGTAATCACATCTGTATTTCATGGCTGCACAATCTGCCCAGACAAGCCCATTACATTGCACTTGAACTTGATTCTATTATAAGCACTAATGACAGTATTGATAAGGATCTATATGCAGGAGTACTCTTACGATAGAAATGGACTTTTTTTTTTTAATTTATTGTTCCCTAGAAAACTTAGTGTATAAAAGAATGGAAGGGTTAAGTTCAATCTGGCAGCTACCTATACCTACAGTAGAAATGTATTATGTTTGAGATTAATTAAACTCACTCTGAGTTTAAACTCTGAGCCCCGAGATCCACAAACATATAGGGAATGAAGTAGGTTGTTAGAATAAACTAGTTGAGCAGAATGGCCTAAAGCACCACAGGGACTGGACACTGTCAGTTATTTAACAGACACAACGTCCCATTCACTAAAAGATCTGAATTGTAACATGCTGTTCTAGAAGAACAAAAGAGGATGGAAAATGTAGCATAAATAAAAATAGCATATTGAAAAAACCCTCAGTTACTGTACAGGTGTCTTTTTGAAGTACTTGTCCATATACGTTATCCTATTTGTTTCCACACTGATCTCATATACACTTTCTAGACCCACAAATATATCTAAGAACAGACTACAAATACATACTAAAAAGGTCCAGCTTTGATGTTTCCGCAAGCAGGAAGCAGGTTTTTATCATTCTGTGTTTTTTTCTGATAACACCCAGGGGAGTACTTCTCAAAGGAAAAATAAAGGTTATTTTCAACCTAATAAAGCAAACAGTTACAACAGAAAGGACTTATTCTGCTCTCCTTACACATACCAATATGTCCCAAAACATATTTTGTTGATCTTTAGACAGGTATTAGTCCTATTATCATTGTTCTCAATGCTCACAGGTCAAACAAGGACTATACT